ATGGTAAACGATCATATTTGTCCATGAATGCCATCGCGATCTCGTCTCCATCATAAGGTAAGCCTTTTAGTTCTTCGTCGGATTCAGATTCCTCCTCGGCTCACCCGTTTCTGTACTCCTGATCGATGTAGGGTTTTTTTACGGCTATCATAATAGAAATTATTTATATTGTCGGACCTTCGACCATCCTCGTGATTAGGGTACGAGTAATCCAACGAAGGGCGACGATACCTGCCATAGCCGTTGCTCTTAGGGCTTCCACTCTGACTTCAACTCTGGCTGCAGATAAAACTACGTTCACGTCGCTGATAGATTCGAGACTCTGGGGAATGGCGGGAGTTGTAACGGTGGCCGGCGGTACGTCGACGTTCGGAAATTTTTACGGCTGATGAAAGTCTACCCATTTGGGGATTTGAGAAGATACGAAAAAAGGTTCGGACTTAGGAATTTGAATAGAATTGAGACGGGTAAACCTCGGGTCTGATCTGAACAAATTTGGAGTTTTGGTTTTACGAGAACGATAAGAAAGAAAAAGGAAGAAGATAGAGGGGATTAGGTGGAGAAGAATTAAAAAGGAAGAAGAGAGAGAGGGTTAGCTGGAAAAGGATTAACTTCCTTAAATCAGTTAACCGTATTTGTGAAAAAAATTATCTCATATCGTAATTTTAATATTATTTACTAAATCATAAGTAAGGGGAGTAATTTTTTTCATAATTCAATTCCTTGCCCTAGTTGTGGATTAGTGTACCCCCATGCGGAATGGATTCAATTTCTCCAATGGAATCGGATTATTGCTAGATCATTAACTCTAAAAATCCGCAACAACAAACGGATTAACAAATGAGTGGTGCGAATTGGTAAGACATTCTGTGCGCACTCACAATACTTAGGAGAGAAAGGAATATGAATTTGGGTGGATTCAGGATAATGGTAATCAATAGGGTGAATAATCTTATACAAAATTCACAAGAAAATCTATGAATTTCAAGCTCAAGAAGCGAATTCCTAGGCTTGAATATGTTATTGTGACAAGTACACC